TTAAAAAGGGACTTGGTCTGAAACTCAATGTGAAGGCCTTGAATTCAGTCCCCAGCATGCAAATCTTATGTATTTGTAAATATTCCAAAGAAAGGTATCTGAAATCTGAAATACTTACCTGGGCCTAATCCTATCCACTGGGACGCTGAGGCAGGAGGATTGCTGCAAGTTTGAGGTCAGCCTGGCTATAGTGAGTTCAAAGTCCCCTTGAATTACATAATGAAACATGTCTCAGTAAACTGCCCCCCCTCCAAAAAAAAAACCCCACCAAAAATAAAAAATAAAATCAGAAACACTTGATACAAAGCATTTTTTAAAAGGAATACTCAACCTATAGAAAGCTCTTTTTTTTTTTTTTTTTTGGTGGTGTTAATAGGATTAAACCTAGAGCTTTTCTTTTGAGGTGTGGCTGGAATTGGTGATCCTCCTGCCTCAGCTACCACAGTGCTGAGATTACAGGGCCATCCTGCCCAGCTCTTTTAGTAAGCTCTTGTTTTACTAAAGAACCCAGTTGACTGCAGCCCTACTTGTGGTCCCTGGACCCCAGCACTCTTCCTTCCATTCTGGGGAGCTTTTCTTCACCCTGTAGGGCCCAGCTTCTCTGAAGCTCATCTCTCCCCAGGGATTGCTGGACTACCCTCTGCCCGAGGGGATCCTGCTGGCAGGGCTGGCAGATCTGAGCAGCTGAGTTCTTTCACTTTCTTTCCTGGAAACCCCAGAGGGTCTGCTGATCAGGAGAGCCTTGGACTGTCACAGGCTCCCCAACTTGTTCCTGGAAGCCAGAGGCTCCCTGGCCAGCCCCCAGCGGTCCTGTTTTCTTAGCCCAGAGTCCAGAGGCTTGGGGCCAGTTATATCCCTGTTGCCTGCAGGGACATGGCCTGCTCTGCTCTGTCCTCAGTGGTGTCCCGTGCTCTCTGCCCTCGGCCCGGGTGGCGTGCCCTGACCTATCAGTTTCCCTGCTGCTCACTTACCCCGAGTTGGCTGTGCTCCAACTGAACGGCTGGGCCTGTTCTCAGGGCCCCTGGTGGTTTGCAGGCAGCCAGCCATGACAGTTCCCGTCTCCCTTCCCAGAAAGGTGGAAAAAGTACAAAGTCAACCCTTTCCTCCAGAGCTGGCAGCTGACCACAGGCCTCTTATGTCTCCTTTCCAGTCCTTCTCTCTGCAGCCGCCCCCTGACCTCCAGGGGACTGTGCCTATGACTTTGCCCTCCCCCGCAGCTGGCTGCCGAGAGGGGCAGTGCGCGCAGGGAGAAATTCAGTTTCCATGAGCGGTGCAGAAGTGCCAGAAACAGCCTGAACGCATAGGCTTCCCTTTTCCTGCCCCTTCCCCGAGGCAGAGTGAAAGTGTTATTTTTGGTGGCATCATCAGATGGCTGCCATCCTTGGCAATCTGATATGAGGAAACAGATTATTCATAATGAAAAAAGAGTCTTTTGTTTGACACACGGTCTCCCTGGGTCGTTCAGTCTGGCCTCAAACTCAGAGATCTTCCTGCCTCAACCTCCCAAGTGCTGAGATTATAGGCATGCACTCCCATGCTTGGCTACTTAAATTGTTATGTGTGTTATTTTTTATTTTAGATTCTGGAGTTTGAATCCTCTGAGCTGTATCCCCATTCCTTTTCGTATTTTTTGAGGCAGGATCTTGCTAAGTTGCTGAGCCTAGGCTCAAATTTAGAATCCTCCTGCCTCAGCCTAGGAATAGCTAGACTTGCAAGCGTGTGCCCTACAACTAGCTGTAGATTTCAGATTTGGGCACTTGCTATCTTGTGTTTATTATGCTGGTAAACAGGCAAGACTAGCAGGAAAGGCTGTGTGCTAAGGGGAGACCAGAAGGCTGGCTAAGGAGTTTCAGTTTATCTCAGCTAACATTTTAGCATTTCTGCCACTCAAATTCCTTGTGCACCATGGGCTTTACTAGGGAAATGTGAATGGGCTCCTGTCCTCGGGGAGTGTGCAGTGCAGTGACTTCGTATTGGGAGGACTCCTTCCAAGCCTTCATGGAAGAGGTCTCCCGGAAAGAGCAGGACACAAAGTGAGATGGTTACTCCAAGCTTGAAATGAAATTATTCCATCCACACGGTCACTGATGGGCTTCTGAATCATCGCCAGCGTTTCGGTGAACAGTGCTGTCCTAAGAATTCTCAGTCAGTTTTCTTCCTCTGTCTGGGATTAAAGTCACGTGAACTGGAGTATACACAAGCTGGGGAACCCTTTCTGTGTGATAGTCCTCGGGGCTGGCATTGGCAGGGGAGAGTAAGCTGTTAAGTCTGGTGAGAATGTCGATCCCTTTTTAAAGGGTGGGTAGGGAGGGGAAAGGCGAGTAGAAATACATGCACAAGGAGTTATGATGTTAGCAAAGTCACTTTTATACCCATTGCCTAGAAAGGGCCACATACCCAAGCCTTGTTTTTTTTTTCCCCTAACCTGAGAACAGAGAGCTGCACCTGTGTGCTCCTGATCTGTAACACGTGATGTTGATTTATTGCTGTGTACTGCAGGCTGTGTGGCCCGGCTGCCCTTCCTATGGGACATAGTGCTCTGGATAGTGCCTCTGCCAAGCTCTGGCCCTGGCAGAGACAGAGACTCTGGAGGGCAGAAGGCTGGACCCTTAGCATCTCCTATGCACCTTTGATGGAAGATGCCCCCTAGGGCCCTGCCTTTGACCCCATACCCCTACCTATTGCGCCCTTGGGGAAGGCCAGGACCCATTCTACAGTTTATATGGAGGGAGAGTGATACTAGATTAGCATTTTCAGACTGGTAGGATACAACCAAAGCTGTGACCTCACAGTGCCAGCCTAGTGTTCTGAGATAGCCAGATCTGGAAACCAGGAGGAAGGTGGCTGTCCCAATGGGGTGGCCGATCTCTGACCACTTTCCCTCTGTGGGGTGCAGCAGGGCCATGTGGGAGAGCAGGAGCAGGCCAGAGGAGTGCCCTGGCCCCAGGCAGAGCTCAGGTGTGCCTTGCTGCTGGGTGAGGGCAGTGGGGTGCAGGGGACTTTACTGGAGCAGGGGGTGATGTGACAGCTGTTAGGTGGGAGCAGGAGAGGAGTGGAGACGGGTGGCTGGCGCAAGCAGCAGACAGCTGCAGTTTCTCTACTGATGCCTGCAGCCTTAGGCAGCAGGGTGGCTCTCGGCAAGCCCTGAGCAGGCCCTTTGCCTCAGTAACCGGACCGGGGTTGCCTGTGACCTTGGCTGGAGATCTCGCTGTGTGGGAGGCTGGGACAGCAGAGGGGAAACCAGGGGAAACCAGAGGAATTATGATTCATGAATGTGATTACTCAACTCCACTGCCACCTTTCTTGCCCAACTTGGAAATAAGGGTTTTTTTCCTTCTCTTTTTTTCAATGACCTTTCTTCTGAGGGTAGGGTTCATTTGTAATACCAATGAGTTGATAAATGCTTAGGCTTACCGACACCTCAGAAGCCCAGGTGCTGCCTTGTCTTCCTGCTGGGTTAGGAGTCAGTGCTGGTGAGCAGACAGAGCTGGAAGGCCAGCTCCTGAGTGAGAAGGGCTGGATGGTAGCTCTTTACATTTTATTCTTTTGTCTTTTTTGAGACAGCATTTTACTATAAGGTTCAGGTTGGCCTTGAACTTAGTATGTAATCCAGGCTGGACTCAAATTCAAGATGATCCTCCTGCCTCAACCTCTGTTATGCTGAGATTACAGTTGTGTACCACCACACCCACCTTCCTCTCTTTTCCCTTTGGTTCTGGGATCTGAAATGGAACATTAACTCTGGCTCTTTTACCAAGAGCTGCAGACCTAAGGCATTAGGGTTTACTTTGATCACCCTGGAGCTTTGATTAAAACCCACATTGCTGAGCCTTGAGTTTCTGAATTAGCCCGGCTGAGGGTGGTGAGAGGTATAGGAGCAGGTTCCCAGTGCTGGTGACACTGCTGTCCTGGGGCCATACTGTGAGAACAGCTTTCCTAGAGATGCGATTGCACAGAACTTGGCTTCTCAGCCTGGAGCCTGGCCAGACCGGAGCTCAGAGTCTGGGATGAGGAACGGACAAGAGCCATCTTGCAGGGTCAGAGGCTGGGGCAGACAGTCCTGCTTTCTAGCCAAGCTTGGAGCCAGGTGCTCTTGGGGTACCCACAGTGTTGCCAGGGAGAGCTGGAGTTTCCAAATGACCCACTTGCACAGCATGAGAGTTGAGCACAGGTTGCACAGCACTCAAGGTAGATGGCGGTGGTTTTTGTAGTCTTTTTTTTTTTTTTTTTTTTGAGACATGATCTCACTCGGTGGCCCTGGTTGGTCTCAAACTCACAGCGATGGGCCTGTTTCAGTCTCCCAGGTGCTGGGATTACTGGTGTACACCACCATGCTCAGCTGGGGGTGGTCTTTCCTAAACTCTACTTGTGTCCTCTGACAAGGGACCTGTCCATTCTGCAGTGGGTGACTGAAGACCAGTAGCCCTTACGGGGAAGGGTCAGCAGGCCAGGCTGGGTTGCTGTGAAGCCTAGAGCCAGTAGGAAGAAGCACTGTTCTTGAGGCCAGACTGGGTCTGCAGTCTCCATCTGGACAGCTGAGGAAGCCTCCTGTCTGGTCCCCCAGTTCCTGCCTGTTCTCCAAACATCAGCCAGGCTGAAGATATAACAGTGGCGGAGCGCTTGCTTGGCACGTGCAAGCCTCAGGGTCCTTTTCTCTGTGCAGGGCTTTATGTAAGCCCCTGTGGGCACCAAATTGTTTAGTATGTGCCATCTTCACTGAGTCTCCAAATGTTTTCCATTTTGCATTTTATTTTTTAAAAATTTTATTTACTTTTTAAGACAGTCTTATGATGTACAAAGGTCAGGCTGGCCTGGAGTTCATGATGTAGTTCAGACTGGCCTGGAACCTGTGATAATCTTCTTGCCTCAGCCTCCTGAGTGCTGGGATTACAGACATGTACCACCATGCCAAGCCTCCGGGTCTCCAAACATAGCTGCGAATCCTGGAATGTTCACCCCCTCCTTTCGCTTCGCTGGACTCACTTTTCCATGTCCCACAGGTCTCAGTTGGAACATTTTACTGGGAGAGTTGCCGTGACCCCTGACACCACCTCTGCTACCTGCTGTGTGCCCTGGCACCCGCAGTGCTCGGCCTGGCACTCTAAAGGGTGGATGGTACCCACCAACCTGTTCCCTGGTTGTCCACACTAAGGTAAAGCAGGTTTCTCTGGGGGTCCTGGCCTGTTCTGAAGTAGCACATCCTGTGGGTATTGAATTATAACCCCACCTTCTAAAGGCAGAAGATTGAAAGCTCAGTGTGGTAGGGCTTCGAGTGTAGCTCGCCTAGCATTTGACTGCCCTGGGTTGGATCCCTAGCTCCATATACTCAAAAAACTCCCCAAAAGCATATTTTTTCCAAATACTGTTGCTGTAAAATTCCCAGCGTGATTCAGACCCTGCCAGTTAGATGTGCTCATTCTGGTGGGAAGAGCTGGCCACCACCTCGGGGTAGATCCCGGGACTTCCCCTTTGCTGGCATGGCCCCCGGCAGGGACAGCATAATTCTGGAGCGGGGAGCTTCCCATGCAGTTGCTACTTGGTAGCAGCAGAGGCCACAGGTCCCTGGCAGCCCAGTCTGCAACGTGATCCTGTGCAGCCTGGGAGCCCAGGAGCTCGGCCTACGCCATTGCTTCTGCTCCTCCGTGCACCCCCAGGCCATTTAATATCCTGCAGAAGCCACTTCTGCCCACATCGAGCAGACCCTACCTCGAGGTCAGGCCCACCCTTGCCGTCCTCATGTGGGTGAGTTGCTTGCAGAGGTGTTTGCTCTCTCTGCTGTATGAGGGAAGGGGTGCGGTGACTGGAATAATCCCTAGTTGGCTGCAGGTGAAGAGTATTTGTTGAATGAGTGAACTTTTGCATAGAAGCTTTTTCTTTTTTCTTTTCTTTTTTTTTTTTTTTTTTTTTTCCAGAACTGGGCATTAAGCCCAGGGCCTTTTCACTGAGCTATGCCCCCAGCCCAACTTAATTTTACTACTGTATTTTGAGAAAGAGTCTCTCTAAAGTTGCTAGGTTGCCCAGGCTGGGCTCAAACCTGTGATCCTCTGTCTCAGGCTCCCAGAGTGCAGGGACTACACCCTCTGCACCAGACGCTAGTACACCTTTCATTTAAAAAAAAATATTGAATGGGCCAAGGAGATAGCTTAGTGGTGCTGCACCTGCATGGCAAGCACAAGGTCCTGAGTTCGATTGCGAGTACCCCAAAGAAAAAAGTCTTGATTGATGCACAATTCTTTTTTTTTTTTCTTTTTCCAAGATAGGGTCTGGCTGTGTGGTTCAGACTGGCCTTGAACTCTTGGCAGTCCTCTTGCCTCAGCCTCCCGAGTGCTGGATCATAGACATGTACCACACACCTGGTTGTTTCTTTTCTTTTCTTTTTTTTTTTTTGTCTTTTTGAGACAGGGGTCTCCCTTTGCAGTTCAGGCTGAACTTGAGCTCACTTTGTAGCCTAGGCTTGTCTCGAACTCACAAAGATCCTCCTGCCTTAGCCTCCCAAGTGCTGGGATTATAGGCGTGAGCCACTAATACTGCTCGGTCTTTTCATTTAAAAAAATAGTGGCACACTTTAGATACACATAGTGATAACATTAGTCATAAGGAATACCTGTATGTAATATATCTTGCTTCCTTTTTTACCCCCATTCCCTTCCCCTTCCTTTAACACCTCTTCTCTTTGTTTACAAAAGCTTTGTTTCCATTGTTTTGCTTATAGTCCTTTTTCTTGTCCTTTCTTTCCCTCTCCCTGAACATTTTCTTCCCATTTCTCAGTATCTGTTATACATTTTGGTCCTTATTTACCTTTCTAGTTTCTCACACCAGAAAAACAATGCAGTATTTAAACATGTGTCTGATTTATATCTTTTAATAGTATGGTCTCGAGGTGCATCCATTTACCTAGAAATGTCTCAGGCTTAGCCTTCTTTATGATAGAGTAATACTCTTTTATGTAAAAAAAAAATGTCTTCTTTATCCATTCATATGTTGGAGGCAGGATCTGAATAAATTGCCCAGGCTGGACTTGAACTTGCCATCCACCTGCCTCAGCTTCCCAGAGTACTCAAATTACAGGTATATACCACTACACCTGGATTGAATTGGACTGGATTGGATTGCATGTTAAATATGTCAGGTATGACTGTGCGTGGCGGTGTATACCTGTAATCCCAGCACCTGGGAAGTGGAGGCAGAAAGATTACTATAAGTCTTAGGCCAACCTGAATGAGGCCCTGCCTTAAAAAAAAAAGGCTGGTAGTTGTGAGCTAGCTAGAGTTAATTAGTGTAAATGAACTTCAAGGTTAGGTTGTTTTTAGCAGATCGGATAATAGATGGTTATGGCAGCTAACTTCAGGTGATTGGGACAGAACTGGCCTGTGGGTCCCAGGAGGACAAAAGAGTCCCAGGTGCTGAGCTATCTGTTCGTCAGGCTATAGCAGCCATGCCAATGTTGGTTAGAAAAGTTAGACTTCTGCTCTTCCAGCAGAAATTTTCTGCCTCCAACTTCTTGTCCCAATACTGTGCCAGGCCTGTGTTGGAACAGACAACTCTCTTTGCCCTTAAGGACAAAAATCCAGTTAGGGGATTTCCAGGGAGACAGGTAATTAGGTGTCCAGTATAGTGCGAGAAAACTACTGAGCGTAGTCCAAGAAGGCTTCCTGGAAGAGGAGATGCCTGAGATGAGCCCCAAGAGAGTGAGTTCGGGACTAGGAAAGGGCATTGTCTCAAGAAATGAAGAAACGGGAGGGACTGGTCTGAAGTGCTGTGCTGTATCCCCAAAGCCTTGTCTCCCGGGTGGCCGTGGAGCTCCGTCATTTCACACTTTGACGGAGCCAGAGATCCACACTGTGCTACTGTCAGGTCGCACATTTGAACCCCGGTCTTTCTGAGTTGTGCTGTTTCATCAGACCACGAAATCCTGCTTTTTATTTATTTGACCCCAAATAAAAACCAGGGAGTTTTGCTTCAAGTGGGTGACGTAAGTGGCAGATGTGAGCAGCACCTCGTTTGCTAAGCCACACACTGGACCCCAGGGTCTAACAAACAGAAGCTGACTGCCAACTGAGAGGGACAGCAGGTCAGGCTTTTGCAATCGGGTGTCTGGAATTGATGATGGACACATGATGAGAAGGGTGGTGACTTTCCCGGCCCTGGGTGGGGTGGGGAGCTGGCAGGTCCCTTGGGCTTCTTCCTTCTCTGTCTGCCGCCCCGCCTGACTCAGTCAGTCTTGGACGCCCGGTGTCCTCACAGATGTGGGGCTGGAGCTGGGGAGTGTGCTGTTTCCTCCCTCCCTGGGCCAGCTGACAGTAAACTCCCCAGGCTCAGCATGGGGCTACATAAGCCTTTTCCAGCCTGTCTGCCCAGCCAGGTCCCTGGCCCAGCCCCTGGCTGCAGTCTGCTTACGGTCTCAACCTCCTCCCCCAGATGCTGACCCACAGAGGGCTCAGTAAATATTGGCCAAAGAGCAGCAAGCTGCTGGTTCTAATTCTCTTCCCTGCTACTGGATGCCACTATTTTGTTTTATGTTTTTGTTTTTAATTTTCCCATCCTGCCCCTCCCAGGAGCAGGAGGTTTCACTATTTCTAGGGGCCCTGCCCACAGACTTCTGCATGGTATGGAAATCTCCAGCCCTACGTGGCCTGCGGCAGTGCCAGTGCTGGAGGTTCCGGGCCTGGCAGAGAAGAGACTGCATCCTTGTAGGGTGTGCAGAGAGCAGTTAGGTGGGAGGGCAGAGGAAGCAGAAGCCGAAGAATGAACCCATTGAATACATGGGCTGTCCAGGCAAGACCACGCAAGGGCTGGTTTCCAAACTAATATTTGCTCTTTGCTTGGGTGAAGATTTCACTGTGTTCAAAGGGAGAGTGGTCTATTGGGCAGTGTTTATGGGGAAGGGGGTGGGGGACAGTGGATACTTTTTTTCAAAGCTCTTTGAGCTCAAGAGAAGTCTCCCCAGTGGTTGGAGGCTGCTGGTTTTCTAATTGCAGACCTTACAATTGACTATACAGGCGACTGTTTTCTAGTCTACTGTTTCATTGTGAGACGGACCGTGACTATCATGACTATTCTGATGAAGGATGCGTACAACACCTGGCAGACATTGGAGTCAGGTGGATTGCTTCTCTGGGCTCCAGGTTCTGGGCCATGTTGAGAAAGTGCTTCTGACCACCATGTTTTCTATACTGCTGCTCTGAGCCCCATTTGGGACACAACAGTAGGCTGAAGTGAAAGAAAGCAACCAGGTCTGGGGATGCAAATGTAGCCCCGTAGTAGGGCGCTTGCCTAGCATGTACACAACCGTGGGTTCAGTCCCCATTAGCAAAATAAAACCATTGCATGCTTCAGTGCTGATCCCCAGCTATATCCACCATCAGCATTAGGTGAACATTACATACATCTTCAGCTATATTCCTGCATAAATGAATCCAGAGAAATAGATGGAAATACTTGTATGGAAAAGTATTATCGTTTCTGTGAATACAATGAAGGAAGAAAATTGAAGAAAGTATTAAGCTTGGAAGAAATGTGTTATTCACAAGAGATAATTTCCTATCCAGTGAAGAAAATAGCTTGTGAGTCACATGTATAATTACTCGTTTTCTTCTCAACAGTATCTATTGATTCTTTGCTGTGAAACATGAGGGTATGAGAATTCTCACATTTGTTCTCATACTTTTTTCACATCCTGATTGTATTAATTGTATTATTACTCATTTTATAATAAAGACTATGTCCTGTAACCACAATCCTCATAATTAATGATTTTAGTTCTTATTTAAAAGACTTGAGTTTACCATCATGCTTTTACATAGTTTCTGTTCCTGGGCTCTTTATTTCTGTACTACTTAGCTGTGTTTCATTGTTAACACAGTTTTCTCCCTGTACTTTCTGACATCTTCCATGCTGAAGAATCTCTGTCAGTCTTTACCATATTTAGGGCTGAGAGCAGTGAAGAGTGCTCACCTGTAATCCCAGTACTCCGGGAGGCTAAGATGTAAGAGGATCACAAGTTTGAGTCCAGGCTCAAATTTAAAAAAACTTTACCAAATTTGAATTAGATTTTGGCTAATGGTAATATGTGTGGTCCATATTGTCTTCCCCTTAGAATCTTGGGGCTATTCTTAGATTATCTTGACTTGGAAGTTGCTGTTCAGAAGGTGACTATAGTCTGAATTTTCTTCCACTTTCACAATAAAGGTTTTGGGGTGAGGGGGAAAATTTCTGGCTGGAGTTATAGCTCAGTGGTACATTTGTGTGATTAGCATATCAGGTGCTATGTTCAACCCCCAGCACCCAGAAACGAAAGCAAAATCAAACCAGCAGCCAGGTGCAGAGTGTATGCCTGTAATCCCAGCACTTGGTGGGCTGAGGCAGGAGGATCACCATGAGTTCAAGGCCAGCCTGGCTACGTAGTAAGACCCTGTCTTAAAAAACCAAAACAGAAAAACAAGACACAAGCAAACCACCACCACCACCACCAAATAGTTTCTTTTGCCTATCTGAAAATATCTTACATGAGTAGCTGAGCTAGGCAATTTTCAGTCTGGAACATTTACGAAATAGAGTATATTATTTCCATCTTCAGCTTTTTCTCTTCCATTTCACAGAAATCTCATGTTATCTTGAATACATCTCCCATTCCTTGGGTCTAGTGCCTTTGCTCTGCTTTGCTGTTATCAGCCTTTTCCATCAGTGCTCTCTATGGCTATCTCAGAACTTGGCTTGGTCATCTGTTCCAAGTTCCAAATGATGCAGTTTTGTTCTCTGTCCATTATAATGTTCCAGTGATGTCTTTCAGTTCATCTTTTCATTTGCAAGCCTGCATCACCTTTTTTCTCATTTCTTTCTCTTTTTATTCAAGACCAGGTCTCACTAGGTAGTGTAGGCTGGGCTTGAACTCTCTCAAGTGTAGGTAGTAGGTAGCCTCTCTCAAGGCTGGGTAGTGTAGCCCAGGCTGGCCTCCAGTTTGCTAGGTGTGAGGGAGGGATGATGGATGGATGGGGGCATCAGACTGTGCACTGTTCTGGTTTTGTGAGTGATCCCTGTAGTGTAGGTCAGCACATTTACTTGGAAAGTGGATCCCATTTCTTTTGGAAAGGAAGGAAGAAATTATTTCCTTAGAACTGGCTACTTTCCCAGCCCCTGTAGTCCTAATTTCCCTCAAGAGCCAGCCCTTTTTTGTGGGGGAAGGATTCGACACAGGTTCTCCCTGCAGTAGTTTAGGTTGCTTTCAAATTCACTATGTAGTGCAGGTTGGCCTCGAACTCCTGATGATCCTCTTGCCTCAGCCTCCCCAGATGTGCGGCACTGCGCCCAAGTAAAGCCTTCATTCTTGCTCCCACTTTTCCCACTCCTCAGTTGAGGAGAACAAAGAATGGATGCCTCTTGGTATATTTAGGGACCTTCGGGAGAATTCTAGTTTTGTCCTCTTTTGGGTTGTCAGGGTTGGGCCAGGGGTGGGAGTGTAATGTGTTGTTCCCTTTGTGTCTTTCTTTCCCTCTGGTCTTGAAGTTAGTAACATCTGTTTATGCCTGTTTCCCTGTGTTTTGACTATTGGTGAATGTATTTGCCTCTTACATTTTCCTTACTATCAGCTTTTTGTTTTGCTTACTACCAGCAGAAGGAAAAGGCTGCCATTTCAGTTCTCCATCTTAAATCTATGTGATGTTTCAACATATTTTGTCTTAGGACATTCATAAAACTCTGGGTGTATTTCATATTAGTCTATTTTTTTTTTTTTTTTGGTTACTATTCAGAATGACTGAAGCTAAGTATTTTACAAAGAAAAAAGGTTTATTTAGCTCACAATTGTGAAAGGGTGGGGATCTGGTGAGGGTCTCATGGTGAAGAAGAGAGCCCTGGCCAAATGGAAGCTGGAGTGGAAGAGGGTCCATGAGAAGCAGTGTTTTTGAGAAAAAATGAACTATGATAAACACAATGGTAAAATGTATCTGCCCACAGAACAGGACTGTTGCTTGTAGATAAAATGCTTCTGGACCCATGGAAGCGGTGACAGCAAGTGGGATTTAGGAGGTCCTAGGATGGCAAGGAAATGTCTATGGCCCCACTGAAGGTTCTGGAGCAAGCAGCTTGGCTACTGACTTCCTATATCATTCATTCCTATATCATTCAGATCATTCATTCTCTTGCCCAAAATTGGGCCTGGTCTGCTACTTGGAGACCAACCTGATTACTAGAATCATTTCCTCATCAGATGCTGCACCAAGGGGACAGAGGCAGTGAGACCCAGCTTCTCTGTGACAAGAAGGGCCTGATCGTCTGAGCCTTTGTCATCTTCCTTCTCCTCTTATGTCCTGAAGCCCTCTGTCCCTAGCACCCCTGGCAAATGTGGACGGGCATGGCTCAGCTGCCTGGGGGACTGGAGTTGCCCAGCAGGGACTGGCATCCAGGACCCTACCCTGCCTTACCTTCCCAGCCATGGCAAGAACAGTCTGTTTTCTTCCTCTCTTCCTTCTGCCAAAGAATCTTTCATAAACCTTTTTTTTTTTTTTGGCTAAGAATAACTTACAGTTAAGAAGAAAAAAAGTCCCCACTGGCGCAGAAAACTCCCCTTCCATCTGCCAAAAGGCCTGGGTCACTTGGGTCTAAAGTGTCCTCAAGGCCACATGAGCTCAGCATCATGATTCCGACTGTACTCTCCTAGTGTTCAGGCACCCCAGAGTCTCCACGGCATGTGGATCTCATCAGAGCTGACACTATGTGGTAGCTGCCATCAAAGCAGTGTATTTCATTACACAAGAGCAGCCATGCTGGCAGGGAGTGAAGAAAAAGGTCACCTGGGAGAAGTAAAGGTGGCTCTATGGCTTGCTGCCCCTGCTCGCCCCATCTGTCTGTCTCCCTCCTCTCCTCCCTTCTTCCCTCCCCTTGCCAACCCTTCCCTCCTCTCCCCTCTCGTCTCTTCTCCTCTTCCCTCTCTCTCCTCTCCTGTTTTTCATGGTACTGGGAATTGAACCCAGGGTTTTCACACTGAGCAACATCCCTAAGACTTTTTTAGTTTTTGAGACAAGGTCTCACTGAATTGCCCCAAATTGGCCTGGAACTTGCAATCCTGCCTCGGCCTCCCAGAGTGCTGGGATTACAGGTCTACACAACCATACCTGGCTTCACTCATCTTTCTCATCGTGCAATCAGAAGTGCCTCTTCTCTAGGGCTCCAGGCTGTCCTAGCAGTCATGCAAGGGCCTCTGGGCCAGTGGACCACAAACACTTCAGCACTTGTCCCTGGGTGGACGCTCATCCACGTCACCCACAGCTGAAGAGTTTTTGTGTTTTTCAGAGCATTTTAAAGTTGCAGATAAACTTGAGGAGTAAGCTGGCAATGGGTATAGTCTTTGGTTCCATTCTGTGATCCTGCGGCAGGCACCTGGAATTCAGTGTGGCCTCTAAGGCATTCCTGCCAGCTCTTCAGGACCTGTGCACGGATAGAAATCGTCAGATCTGCTCAGAGGCTTGCAGACCTTGTGGCTGCCTGTGGCATCCAGGACGTGTTTTTATGTTGTCCAGCCCTGGCTTCACTTCATGAGAGTCTATTTTTGGCTTTGCTGGCTGCAGATGCATCTTCTAATCTCTGAACCCTCTCTGGCTTCCTTATCTCTTAGGTGAAGTTCAGTTTCCCAACTTCTTTTAAAAGAAACAATGAGTTCTAAGTGCTCGGCAAGGTCTGCCCTTGGCAAACGCCAGGCACCGTCCACCATGTGCTCGCCTCTCTTCTTTTTTAATTTCTTTGATTAGGGTAAATCCTGTATCTTTTCTTTTAGTTATAGTATTTATGGTTTTAAGAACCTATTATTTACTTTGGAAATTTTCTAACATGCACAATAGAAGTCTTAATCTCCGTCACTTATTTCAACAGTCATTTCCTCCTGCTCAGTCTTGTCCCATCTGTGCCTCCCACACACTCCTCTTCCTTTATTACCTTGAAGCAAACCCAGATGAGATAACACTTAATCCATGGTTATTTCAGTATCTCTAAAAGATAAAACCTTTATGGAATCGTAACCACACTGTTTATTTGGTGGGGATAGAACCTGCGGTCTCATACATGTTAGACGCTCAGTACCGTTAAGCTATACTCTAGACTCCTGTTTTTTTCTTCTAAGTTTAGTCAAACTTTTTTGAATTTGTTGTTTTCCTTCACTTTTCTCTAGCCCTTGCCTGCTTTCTTTGAGTGGTGCTGAGGATTGAATCCAGGGCATTGGCACTAAGCTATATCCCCAGCCCTTTTATATCTTTTATTTTGAGACAGGCTCTTACCAAGTCACTAAATTACCCAGGCTGGGATCAAACTTGCAGTCCTCCTGCCTCAGCCTCCCAGAGTGCTGGGATTACAGATGCGTGCCACCATAGCCAGCTCATCCTGTCCTCTTTAAAAGAAAAGTTTCTTAAGGCTCAGCAGAGGGAGTAGGGAAGGGCTGAAGTTGCAACTTGATGCTGACCAGATTCAGGATATTAAGGGACACCCCTGGTGCTAGGCGTGGGGGTCAGGAACAGGCGAGGCAGCTCCTTTACCCAGACTTGTGGTCCTGCAGGTGAGCCTGGTCACCATGACTCTGCCGCACCGGCCCCTCCCCAGCTGCTTCCTGCTGGCCTTGCTGGCCTGCAGCACCGCTCCCCAGGTGCCAACAGGGTCTGCGGCCCAGCTGCCCATCAGTGCTGCCTCTTTCCTGGATGACCTCATGCAGCACTATGGCAAGGGTGACAGCCTCACCCTGCCGCAACTGAAGGACCTGCTCAACCACCTGGATGTGGGAGTGGGCCGTGATAATGTCACCCAGCATACTCAGGGAGCCAGGAACCTCTCCACGGTAAGCCTTCCTGTGAGCCGGTGTCTCTCAGGTCCCTGGCTGCTGGGGCTAAGGGTGGGTGATGTGGCAGATTCTTATTATAGATCAGCATAACCGCAGTCTTTAGCAGCATCTCTGTACCTGCATGAAGCTTTGAAGCCCTCCCAAAGGGCCGCCAGGAGGTAGGGTTCTCAGCCCCCCAATCTTTTGAGGTTACACCAGGATCGCAAGGAACGTCTCGAAGCCATGGCTCCCAGCACAGCATTTCTGGTGGTGGTTACATTCCCTAAGCCCCATGCACATGTGATATGCCATTATTCTCTCTCCTAAGACAGAACACTACACATTCTCCGGGAGTTCCTGGAGGGAGCAGGACCAGCACCCAGAGAACCTCTCCAAGGCTTCTGGCAACTGCTTCTGTGCGCCTTCTTCCTATCATCTTGGCTGGTCCAAGTCTGAGGCTGTTTGTGACAGTCAAGCATAAGCCAGCCAGCAGGATTTTTATATATTTGCTTTGCTCCCTGCGCTGAGTGTTATGGGAAACAGAAACATGAGTCATATTTAAAGAGGTTGCTGTCGAGATGGGGAGCTCAGAGGTAGCTGGAATGAGGTGTTACATTCTGTGGCTGGAAAGAAACTGAGATTCAGGCTCATCCCTGGGCTATCCGAGAACTGAATCTCCTGAAGGGTTTGGCACAAGAAAGCAGGCAAGGGGACCATGCAGTGTGACTGCAGAGCCAGCTGGGTGTGGGAGATGCCTGAGTCCCCAGGCAGTGCCAGGAGGCAATACAGCCACATCCATGGGGGTTCTACAGGGGTAGCAGCAGTGTTCTGGGGTCTCTAGAGTCCATGTCTTGGCCCAGAAATTTCAGTTGTCAGCACACCCTGAGGGCTATGTTCAGAGATAGCCCCAACAAGCTCAGAGTAGATGGGGATAAAGTATAATTAAAATTACAGCATTCCCCAGGAACGGTATGTGAGAGCCACTTGCCAACGAATACCTCCCAAGGTGGCTGGGCACTTACCTCCGCTGGCCAGCCGGAACTTGCCCAGTAGCTGGCTCTGAATCTTGAGATTTTCCTTCCCGTACCTCTGCCAGCGCTCGAGGTAACTCTAGAATCTGCATTTTAACATAGCAGCTCCCTGGCGTTCAGATGAGCACCCAGATTTGGTATCCAGATGGAGCTTTTATCTTCAGCTATGCAAATGGAGCATGTTTTCCTGCAACCACTCCCTGGTCACCATGATTTGCAGTCTGGTTGTTCCTAAACCTCCCAAAGCTAGGGGAGTGGTTCAGCTGTAGAGCTCTTGCCTTGCGTGACCAAGGCCCTGGGTTTGATCTCCAGCACCACAAAAAAAACTTCTCCCAATAACCATTTACAGATGCATGTGCTTAGCACATGTAACCTCCCCAGGTGGCTGACTGCTAAGATTACTGGTGAGATTTTCACATGTAGGTGCTTCCTTAGTGGTGCATCTCTAAATTTCTTTTCTTTTTTTTTTTTTAAATCGGTACCAGGGATTGAACTCTTATGCCACTGAGCTAAATCCCCAGCCCTCTCTAGATTTCTTGAACTTTGCCATTTCCATCTTTTTATCTGTGGGAAGGATGAGAAGCAGAGACACCGTGGACTTTGCAGTTTCATGGCTCTCTCACTCATCTTGTTCCAGTGCTTTAGTTCTCGAGACCTCTTCGCTGCCCACAACTTGAGTAATGAGTCAAGGATTGGGAGGAATGAGTTCCAGGAATTCTGCCCCACCATCCTACAGCAGCTGGATTCTCAGGCCTGCTCACTCAAGAACCAAGAGAATGAGGAGAACAAGCAGACAGGGGAGGGAAAGCCGAGCTCCCTCGAAGGTGAGTAAGGAGAGGGGCAGAAGCTGGCTTGTGGATCACCCAGCAGTGTAGACACAGCCTTCCATCACAAAGGGGAAGAGTGACGGGTGCTGATTGTTACTGTGTTCACACCACTGTTTTGCTGCATTGCCAGACCCAGGTCAGCCTGGCTGGTGAGTTCTCAGAGGGCTGGACTTCAGAGTTTTCTGTTTTGTTTTTTTTTTTTTTTAGGGGCCTAGCTTTATACATAGGATCTATGCATTAAGTCAAATTCTCAGCCCCCAGCATTTTGGGGTTTTTTGTTTTGTGTGTGTGTGTGCACGTGCGCACATGCATCATGGTCTCTCTGAGTCACTCAGGTTAGTCTGGGCTTTGATTTGGGATCCTCTTGCTGCAGCCTTCCAGAGTGCTGGGGTTATAGACATGTGCCACCACACCTGGCTGCCTGCTTTTTATACTGGTGTTGTTCAACCCCAAAGGGCTCAATCTTTGAGACAAGGTCTCACTGTGTATTTCAGGCTGGTCTTGAACTTACTATGTAACCCAGACTGGCCTTGAACCCTGCCAGTCTTTCTGCCTCAACCTTGTAAAATTGCTGGGGTTATAGGTGTGCACCACCCATGCCCTGTTCTGTCTTTTTAAGACTTCACTTGGTCTCCTTTATCCTTGTCCCCTCACCCCGGTGCCTGGGCTCATGCTTGTCCCCTCATCCCACAGCCAGTGAGCTCATCTCTTTTCTACGAGCAAACACACATGACTTTGTAGGCCCCAGCTTTGACACGTGGCACTGTGTCATGTCTCATACTATCCCCACTGGCATGTTTTAACTTGTGTTTAATCCTCCATGTGGTCCTCCAGTCCCTCTGAAAGGTAAGTGACCCTGACAGCTTTTTTTGAGACTCCTCCACCTCTAAACACTAGAGACGGACCCCAGGGCTGCTGGGTACAGTCACCCTGGTCACCCCACGTTCGCAGTGGCCCAGCCTGCAGTAATGGAGGCCCTGTCTTTTCTTGTTCCTCCGCAGTGTGGGGCTTTGGTTTCCTCAGTGTCTCGATGATTAACCTGGCCTCTCTCCTGGGAGTCCTCGTCGTGCCGTGCACGGAGCGAGCATTTTTCAGCCGGGTGCTCACTTACTTCATCGCCCTGTCAATCGGAACGCTGCTCTCTAACGCGCTCTTCCAGCTCATCCCAGAGGTGCAGTAGACAGATGCGCGCCGCCGCTCTGCCCCTCGGCTGAGGTCCCCTCCCCACCACACTAAGGCACCTGGCGACCACCACCTGAAACACAAACTGACACCTGTATCAAGGGCCACTGATGACGTCTCTCTTAGGATTTCAGCCCCACCCCTTCTGTCCCCATCTCCTCGGGTACTAAGGTTGATCTGGCCTCTTGAGGACATCAGATGCAAGGTTCTTAGCATTTGTTTCCAGCTGAGGATCTCTCTCAGTCCCTCCTAGAGCTCCCGTGGCATGGTGCAGTGGATGAGCACGTGGCATGTCCTCTGTTTTGAGGGAAACCATGGAGTCTGTCTTGGGTGCCAGTGGGTTATCCATCCTGAATGCAGTGGGAGACCATTTGACAAGAACAAACAAAGTTAAAAATACAAAACAAGCCAGGTGTGGTGGGCACATGCCTGTAATCCCAGCACTCAGAGGAGCTGAGGCAGGAGGATCATGCCTTTCAGCCCAATCTGGGCAATTTAGTAACTTAGCGAGCCCTTGCCTCCACATGAACAAAAGCTGGGGGTGTAGCTCAGTGTGGAGGCCCTGAGTTCAACCCCCAGTGTTACAAAACAGAAAAAGAAATAAAAGGAGCAGGGATCCTTGGTACCTTGCATCTTGACTTTCTCCTGAGAGGACTGACTTCTTGGGACCCTTCCTTGACTGTTGTAAAATGTCTGGTAATTTTGTTTTTAATTGTCATCACTGAGGAGCTATAAAATAAAGCCCAAGTTGACAGCCTGCCCACACTGCCCTCTAGGGCAGGGATGCTGCTGTTGGGGGAGAGAGGATAGCATGGGGTCATCTCAGGAGTAATGGAGCTGCCTTACATAAAGAGCCCATGTCAGCAGCTTCCCAGCTCTTCCCAACTGCAAGATTGACCCAGAAAAGGTGCCATGTGGGGATTCATGCCTGGCCTAGCCTGGCCTTCCTTCATAATGAGAGAAGCAGTGATTTAAGGGTAACTACACGCTCTCATGTCAAAATTCCACATGGATCTAGCAGGCACTTCCCAGGGGAGGCCTCATCTTGGGCTATGTTTTCAGCTTCAGAAATTGAATTTGTAATTTTTCAAAGATCTGCAGTGAGATGCCTCCTTGCCTCTGAATGAAAATCCCTGTGTCTTGTCCTGGCTCAGGTCTGGACTCTCAGCCTGGAGTGTATCCCACAAGGAAATGCCAGAGGACTTGTTTTATGATGGGGTGACCTTGGAACTCCCTCTTTTATACTTGGGCCCCTCTTACAGCAAACTGAAACACAAAAACAACTGAAGTTCGGAAATGACTCAACATCAGGTCTTGTTCTCTGCACATCTGGCTTTGTTGTGTTCTGCACTGACCACGCCACCTACCAGTCGTGTCATCTGCTCCTGTGACACAGACTGGATGCAGAAGCAAACTGGGCAGCAGGATGAACAGTCTCTCTCCGTTTGCTTTTGTGTCTTATGAAAGAGAACACTTGGACCTGAAGTCTGTGATGGGCCTGGGCAATTCTCAGATGTGTGATGAGGGCATCCCATCCTGCCTTCCAGTCATACCAGCTGGCAGGTGTGACTCAGGCCACCCAATGCAACAGGGGCAGTAGTCACGGGGTTCCAAGGCCACCCTAATTTCCTCCTCGTTTCTCTTGAACTGATTGAAGAAAATTTTATCGAATTTGAATCACTAACAAATTTTCTATTTTTCTCTCCCTTCCTATTTGCACTTTCCCTGTTGCCCCCACCTTCCTCTCCACCTTCCTCCCCTAAATGGTGGTTGCCCCCTCCTTGTCCTGGGTGGGCTGGCAGTGTGGGGATACGGTATCCTCTGTGTCACCGTCATCTCCCTCTGCTCCCTCATGGGGGCCAGCGTGGTGCCCTTTATGAAGAAGATCTTTTACAAGAGGCTGCTGCTCTACTTCATAGCTCTGGCGATTGGAACCCTCTACTCCAACGCCCTCTTCCAGCTCATCCCCGAGGTATGGCAAGCCAGAACGCTGGCCCCCAGAGCAGTGCGTCTGCTGGGGACTGCAGCCAGTGGGAAGACCCTCTGTTCACTGGTGGGCACAGGGAGGAGTATCCAGGGTCTTTCGTGGTGAAAAGCAAAACTAGGAGTCAGGCAAGAGCTAGGCAAAGGTGCACAGCGTATGTTTGAGAGCCAGCACAAGTCCTAGCTCCCCGTCTCCAGGTTCTGCAGCATGGGGTGAGCTCCCCACTATGCTGCTTATGTTTCCTCATGTGAAATGGGAGAGACAGTAGAGTCACCCTCAGATTACCCAGGGAGTTGATGTTTGTAAAGTGCCTGGTGTCAGGAAAGTGCTGAAGGTGTTGAGTGAAAAGAATAGGGTAGCAAGATCATTTTCTAGATCTCAACAGTGCAGACAAGTATGAACACACTGCCAGAGTGCATGGGTCTCAGTATGGAGTTTAAAGGCCAAGGCAACCTGGACAGAACAGTCTGGGCTTGCACACAGCAGTCACACCCTTGCCCCTTGCCCAGGTCCTTGAGAAAATATTCTGCAAAAGAGAGGGAGCTCAGTGTCTGAGGTTTGGCCATCAGCCCCAGAGACGCCCCATCTGATTGGGTGCAGGGTCATGGGTAGACCCGTTAATTATAATAAACATCAGACAGATCACCACCATAGGTGGCCTGGCAGGCCCAGGCAAAGCAGAAACATTGGTATTTTCCACAGTGCTATTTTGTGTTCTTGTTGAATCAACACCACTAAGTGCTGTTTTGCCCGCTGCACTCTGACTTGCAGGAAGGAGAGCTGCCTCCCAAGGCCTGGCCTCCACGTCCCTTGCCTCCCACGCAAGCCAGACAGTCGGGTGCCACCGTTCTTTCAGGCTTTGTGTGCAGCGGTGGTAGTTGCCCCTTTGCAAATCACTCTTCCCTACGAAGACTCAGCTTTCCCAAAAGTTACCCTGAGCTGACCTGAGCATATTGCTTCCACACTAGAATCTGGCCACTATGTAGGTCTCTTAGAAGAACAACCCTGGAGGGACATGATTCAATTTGGTCCCTTTAAAAATCAAAGGATAAACTCACATTTTAAGCGGCCTAGAGTTCCCTGGGTTAGAATCAACTTTTACTAGTATCCCATTCTGGAGGGCTGGAGTGTATTCAAAGCCTGTTTCCATAAATCAAGAGCCAGACCTAGAATAGACTTCTCCTGGTCTCTCACCCTGTCTTCTTCCCAATGGATTTGCCCCTTCCTTAATAAGGGAAGTTTTCCACACCCTCTCCCAGTGTTTTATTTTTAAATAAAGATATGTGGTCTTACTATGTTATCCAAGCTGACTTCAAGCAGTTCTCCTTCCTCAGCCTCCCAAAGTAGCTGGCATTGCAGATAGACATCATCACACCAGTTTCAGAACCACCCAGATTGACGCACACAGGGACGCAGCCCGCTTCCTCGGCCTTGTGGTCCCTGTGAGGTCTGTGGTCAGGAAGATGCTGCAATTCTTTCTGTTTAACTGAGGGATGGATTTCCCTTTTTAGAAAGCATAATTATACCACTTCCCATTATGTTTACAGAAAGAAAAGCCAGGGACTGCTAGATAAGATGCAAATAAAAAGTCCTTTCCTTAAGTGTGGAATTCACCCTCAGGGTGCTTCTGTAGCTTAGCGCTGAAAGAAATCAAATTAAGTCCTCATTAAAAGCAGGGAGCCATATCCGCAGCTGTTCTTCCAAGTTTAAAGTCCTAAATATGGTGTGTGTTTTGCGTCAGAAGAGAAGCACACCGGGTCCCTGCCAGGAGCAGTGATATCACATCCGGGAGCATCAGGAGTAGATTGTGCTGACGAGAGTTCGGGCAGGCAGCAGTTACTCAAAGACACTGCTTTGTTGGAGTCAAGGAAGTTGTTGAGAGATGAGAGGGAACTAGTGAAAGTTTTTATTTTCTTAACTCATTTTATTTTCATGGGTCCACAGGCTTTTGGTTTCAACCCTCAGGAAGATAATTATGTCTCCAAGTCTGCAGTGGTGTTTGGGGGCTTCTACCTTTTCTTTTTCACAGAGAAGATCTTGAAGATGCTTCTTAAGCCGAAAAACAAGGTGAGACCCCATTGTAACAATTACTAAGTAAGGAAAATTCTAGGGAGGCACCATGTCAAAAAATGTCAACATGTCTGCTCTCAGTGTTGCATCACCAATGGAGATGAGGGGACACAGGTGTCATGAGGAGGTCATTACATTTCAGATTGTAAGGATGTTAGCTGATTCTGGAACCTAAATCTGGCCAATGAGCCTTTAATCAGCAGCTGAGTCTGTCCCCTTTGCTTTGTCCTGAATGGTCTCCCATGTATACCCTCAGATCTTCTTACATCCACTAGGGAAGGGCTTGGGAGCAGGTAGTCACTGAGTATGAGACATGGTGGCAGAGACTGGGACTGACCACCACAGTGTGGTCCCAGAGAGATGCCCTCAGACCTGGACCTATGCTTGTGCCCTGCACAGCTGCTGAATGGGATGCAAGTGGTCATTGCCTAGGCCCTCCAGACTCTGCAGAACCACCTCGCTTCAGTGAGGGTTCCTCAGGGGCCGCTTCAGTTCCTAACACCTGGTCCTTCCCACATGCTTGGCACTGCTGTACATGCACCTTGTCCACATTTCAGTGTGACCTGCTCTGGGGTTTTTGTTGTGCAGCAGTGAGGTCTCCCCAAGGCTGGAACTCTCATTGGGCTGGTGATTTTGGTTAGTGTTACCCTGACCTTTCCCTGTCACCCTTCCAGCGCCATCACGGACATAACCATTTTACTTCAGAGACACTTTCTTCCAAGAAGGACCAGGAAGAGGGCGTAACAGAGAAGCTGCAGAACGGGGACCTGGACCACATGATTCCTCAGGCCTGCAGCGGCGATCTGGATAGCAGGGCCCCCAGCGTGGAAGAGAAGGTCATTGTGGGCTCACTATCGGTGCAGGTCAGCAGTCGCCACTGCCTGGGGAGCCTGGGCCACCTTGCAAGGCACATGGTCCACCCCATACCCTCTGTGTACTTTCTTATAGGACCTGCAGGCTTCACAGAGTGCCTGCTACTGGCTGAAAGGTGTGCGCTACTCTGACATCGGCACCCTGGCCTGGATGATCACCCTGAGTGATGGCCTGCACAATTTCATCGATGGCCTGGCCATCGGTGCCTCCTTCACTGTGTCTGTTTTCCAAGGCATCAGCACCTCGGTGGCCATCCTCTGCGAGGAGTTCCCGCATGAGCTGGGTGAGCTCACAGCCCCCACATATCCACACGGCCTGCCCCTGGTCCTGTGGTTAAAGGAGAAGCAGGTGAAGAGGACTTAGCTACTTGCTAAGTACTCAGTAAACGGGATAACGCAAAGCCTATTCATCTTCCAGGGCGGGGATGGATGAGAGTGAAGTAGCTGAGCCAGGACTTAGGAGATACTTAGCTTTATTATAGCAGAGTGTAAAAAAGCCAGAACTCTGGGAGCTCAGATCTTACCATTTGCCATTTTTTGGCTTGTAAGTCTGGCCAAATTTCCTACCTTCTCTTCCTCTAAGTTTCATTCCCTGAAAGTATCTTTTATTTCAGTTGCAAGCAAGGGAGCTTCTTTTATTTAGTTCCCTATCAGAAGACAAAAGGATAGAAGGCCACTGCTAGCTGGTCATCTGCTTTCAGAGTCCCGTGGCTTATTCCAGCCTGTGGGCTGGGAGGAAGCAGCCAGCATGGCAGATGGAGATGCTGTCTAAAGAGGAAGCTAGAGAAGGGGCCCGGAAGTCATCCTGTCAATGTTGAATCTGGGGCATCCTGATTTTTACTGTGGTGTAAGCAGTATGTCTTCTGACTAAACATGCTTTCCGCTGTGTCCCTCCAGGCGACTTCGTCATCCTGCTCAATGCCGGAATGAGTATCCAGCAGGCCCTCTTCTTCAACTTTCTCTCTGCCTGCTGCTGCTACGTGGGCCTGGCCTTTGGCATCGTGGCAGGCAGCCACTTCTCCCCTAACTGGATTTTTGCTCTGGCTGGAGGAATGTTCCTGTATATTTCTCTAGCTGATATGGTAAGTTGACCAGCATTTATGCCAGCAGGCAAAGCTAAGCGGGTTATTAAAATCATGGACAGGACAGCTAAGGGGATGTTAGTTTTTGTTTTTTCTCCTTTTCTTTTTTGAGACAAGTCTTGCTAAGTCCTTGAGGTGCTGAACATGGGTTTGAACTTGGAATCTTCCTTTTTCTGCCCTCCTCAGTGTTGGGGTTACTTGTAGGTGCCCCTGTGTGCAGCAGTTAATTTGGCTTATTAAGATTTTTATTGAAGCATCTCTCACATACCTCATCTCTTGTCTGTTTTAGATGTACCTCTTTAAGGAGGCATTAGTCTTAGGGTTTTGTTTGCAGGTTCCTTTTTTTGCTGTTTTGGGACAGCGCTTGGCTAAATTGCCCAGACTGCTCTGGAACTGTGACCCTCTCACCTCAGCATCCTGTGGAGCTGGGGTTACAAACACACACCACATGCCTGGCTGGGACATTAGACTTTCAAGGGCAAAAATATATTTCTGTTTGCATGTGTCATTAAAGAAAGCGATGATACCACCCATTCTAGGGTCTATACTTAAACACGATAGAATAGGTAAACAGCAATGAATAAAGAAGGAAGGAAAGAAAGAAAATTACCCATAATTTTTCTGCCCCAGAATAACAATAACAGTACCTTGTTTCCTTTTTTATTGCAAAGAATATTGTGTGTTTTTAATGAACTATAATCACATTGAATATGCAATTTTATGTTCTGATTAATTTTTCCTAATATACCAGATATTTTTCCATCTTGCATACTTTTTGCAAATATCCTCTCAAATGATACTACTAATTGATCAGCTGTTATACATTAGTTTCAAAGCTAAAATTGCTAGTTTTAGATTTTTCCTTTTCCTTTTCTTTTCTTTCTGTTTTTTTTTAGATCAGGTCTGATTATGTAACCAAGCCAACCATGAACTTCATTATCATGATCCTTCTGTCTCAGCCTTTTTAGTGCTGGGATTACAGGCATGCACTACACACTGGCTCTGGTTTTAGGATTTTAACAACTTTTCAAAAGGGCTTAACCTCTGTTAACAGCAAGCAGTAACTGAAACTGTATACTACTTTGTGCTGCTACCATTGATATGAACTACCTAAGGATTTTGAATTTTCAACCTGTCTGGCAGCACTTTTTGTATAACTTAGAAGGTTGACTGCTTTCCTTGATCATTGGCATGATGTGGGCTTTGGTCTGAATTATTTTTCCTTATACAGCATATCCTCATATATAGCCGGGCATGGTGGCACACACTTGTAAGCCCAGTAGGAAGATCACTATGAATTTGAGGTCAGCCTGGGCTACAAAGTGAGTCCAAGGCCAGCCTCAACTATATGGCAAGACCTTGTCTAAATAAAATAAAGTATATATCCTCTCTATTCTGTATACAGAAAACGCTTTGTTATGTATATTGATTTGTCAGTTCTGCATATTCACTGGATATTCTGAGACAGGGTCTCGCGGTGTCAAGCTTTGTTCTCAGCATCAGTCCATGCTGTCAGTGTCAGCACTTGCCTCGCTGGCTTCGTAGCACAGGCTTTGAATCCCAGCCGCCTGCATCTCCCTTCCCTATCCCCCAGCACACTTGCTTAGTTTCCCGAGGAGGGAACAATAATGTCTGGTAGTGAAAAGATCTTTTCAAGTGTGTTAGAGTTCAGCCAGCATCTAAACATTGCCAGGGCCTGCAGTTGCCCAGTACTTTGTTCGCCTGGGGCTGCCCCCGAGAAAGGTGTTGTGCCTAGGTTGTGGTTCCCACGAGTGTGGCTTTCCTCCTCCGCCACTTGCATGGTTGCACCGCGTGCTCACTGAACTGCCTGGCTCGCTCTTCTCTCCCTCTCCAGTTCCCTGAGATGAATGAGGTCTCCCAGGAGCATGACAGGAACGGCAGCATGCTGGTGTCCTTCGTCATCCAGAACCTGGGCCTCCTGACTGGCTTTACCATCATGCTGCTCCTCACCATGTACTCGGGGCAGATCCAGATCGGGTAGGGCCCTGCAGGGCCACTCACATCACAAGGCAGGCACTGAGCTGCCCGTCCCTGCCTGGGACCCGCCATGCACGTCGCACACGGAAAGGGCAGCTGTGAACTGCTGTGGACTGTCACCCACGTTTGGGTGTCGGCTGTGTCCCAGAAAGCCAGCTGCACGGTTGCCACTCTCTAGGTAGTGCCTCGCCCCTCTCCTTGCCCCTTCCTCACAGTCATGCCAGAACCCAAGTGTCACACATAGGACAAGCCTCTCCCTTTGCTCTCTGGTTACTCGGATCTCTCTTGGAAGCAGCATCATGAGATTTGGCATCTTGGACCCTGCAGTGTAAAAGCAGAGCAGCTGTCAGAGCCCGGATAGAAATATCAACAGGGGAATCCACCCTGGGGGACCCACAAATGCAAATTGCATCCTGGACCTCAAGCTGCCTCTTTTAAAAGTTTGGGGTCTCCTGCTCTTCAGAGAAAGGGCAGGGCACAGGCATCTCTCCCACCTATTTTTAAAATCTGTTCAGTTCCTATTAATTCAGAGAACTGAAACTCAGAACAGGCTAATAGGGCAGGCAAGGCAGGGACCATCCTGATCGACAGGGGAAGTAGAACCAGTGATGTGGGACCAGTCTGGGTGCTCACTTATTCCCTCTGGGATGCTGGATGCAGTTCTTGTCCAGCCCTGCTGTCTTCTGGCTGTCTGGCTGGGCCAGAGTTGTGGGCAGCTGCCCAGGCCTCTTTTTTCACATTAATACTGACAGTGGGGAGGGGCAGGAGCCCTGCAAGAAAATAATTGGGTTAGCTATGATTCCCAGCTCCCTTCTTCTAAGAGATTTTTTAGCTGCCTCTCTAGAAGCACATTTTGAGCACATTTCAGATGTTTATGTGGCAGCATGGTGGCACACACCCATAATCCCAATACTAGGAAAGTTGAGGCAGGAGGATTGCTTCGAGTTTGAGCTAGCCAGAGATGCATAGTGAGTTCAAGGCCAGCCTGAACTATATAGCAAGACTCTGTTGCAAAAAACAAAAACAACAAAATAAAATGTTCGTATTAGAGGGGAGACTGCATGGATTCACTGCCCCAGTCGAGACTTCTGCCACAGACTGGCAAGCCAACTTGTAGAGTACAAGAGCAGTTGTTTATGCTCTATGTAGTGACAAGGGAAATCGGCAATGAACGGGTGCAGACCACGCTGAGGACCTGCTGATGGCATAAACACAAGTGTGAGCACAAGGGGCTCTGGACTGTGAGGTCAGAACCTCACATCTTGGCCCTGGGGTGCTGCAGACGTCACTGTCTAGGTGACATGTCCCAGCTCACCCCAGTGTGAATTGCTCTAGACCTCCGAAAGTGGACTGTGTGCTTGTCTCTAACACTACAGGCCAGCCTTGGGCACTGTGGAGCTGCTGCCTCAGAACTCTGGCTTCAAGGGGAGTTGATCTCCAGATTCACTAGGTGAATGATTTATTATTATCATATTGATAATGCGAGACTCTTTAGCCACTTTGGGGAGCCAGTCTCCCCAGAAGCCTTTCTTAGTGGTGCCCACAGTCGCAGCCGAGGGGCCATGTTTGTTTGCAGGATAGACAGGAGCACGGGTTCACTACCAGTGCCTGATCTTCTCTGTTCTTAGGCAGTTTGGAAGACTGTCCACTCTTAACAATTCCAAGCAGCATCTGTTTCATTTTTTCTTCTTGGGAAACAGTCTTCAAACCAGGAGAGCAGCTAAGGGTCCCTCCTGATCTTGCTTCCTGACTTGGGTGGAACTGAGACCAGACTGACGGAGGAGAAAATTCAGCCACCAGGATTCTAGATTGAGTGTCAGGACCTGGTAGAGTTAGGGTCCAGTTTTACCAAAGAACCAAGTCCGTAAATGTCAGAATCTGATCATCATCTCTGTTGGTATTGTTTTAAAATGCTTCTTTGTCTGTTCTGTTTTATAATTCCCAAATTGCTTTTAGGATCTAGGAGAAAATGGCACAATTTCAGACTCTGAGGTGGGTGTAACTCAGTGGTAGCATGTTTGCCTAGCATATGCAAGGCCCTAGGTTCCATCTTTAGCACTACAAAATCAAAAAAGAGAAAAAGGAAAGTTGACTCTGAAAGGTTTTGTCTTACTTAACTCACCTTAATGTATTTATTGTTTAATTTTAGTATTCCCTACATAGATGCTATCATTCCTTTAAAAGTACCCTTTGTCACTGGGTGTGATAGCACACAGCTGTAATCTCAGCTCTCTGGGAGGCTAAGGCAAGGAGATCACAAGTTTGATCCCGGTCTGGGCAATTTAGCAGGATCCTATCTCAAAATGAACATAAATAAACTAATAAATAAAAGAGCTGGGGATATAGCTTAGTGCTTAGGGTTCAATTCTCAGTGCTACCAAAAAAATTTTTTTCTGGAGTAAAATACTGAATTAGGGCCTGGGGATTTAGCTCAGCGGCATAAGCGCCTGCCTTGCAAGCAGACAGTTGGGAGTTCGATCCCCGGTACCGATAAAAAGGAAAAAGACCAAAAAAAAAAAAAAACAAAAACTGAATTGGAGTTAATTCATTTCTAAATTTAAGAGACGAAGTTAGAGCCAGGCATGGTAGCATACACCTGTAATCCCAGCATTTGGGAGACAGAGGAAGGAGGGTCTCTGTGAGTTAAGGACCAGCCTGGGCTACAAAGTGAATCCAAGGCCCGAACTGCACAGTGAAACCCTGTCTCGAAAGAAAGAAACTTAGAAACCTAATCTTGAATAAATTAAATAGCAATCATATGAACTAGTGTTCTTTAAAGGCATTGGTACAGGGTCAGCCCCAGTTGGAATTTAGGAGGGAGGGGACTGACTACATTGCATCTGCAACAGCTTTGCCTCCTGGGTTGACGTTTAAGAACTGAATTTGTGCCGGAGGTTTAGCTCGGCAGCACAAGCGCCTGCCTGGCAAGCGAAAGGTCATCAGTTTGATCCCTGGTACAAAAAAAAAGTTGAATTTGCTATTGTACACATAGTAGAAGTCTGCATTGTGGTGAGTTTGGGGAGCACCTTCTGCCTCGCTCCAGAAAGAATGTCAGCAGAGAAATACATGTCATACACAGGAGCCAGAAGCCAGGAACATGGTTCTGCTGCCTCGCACCTTCCTGTCTGTCCTTGTCACCAAAGGTGTTCTGTGTGTAGTATCAACTAGGGGCCATTTCTAGTCGTCCTTCACCCTGGGCTTCAAAAATACTTCTATGCTAGGTGGACACCCGTAATCCCAGCACTTTGGGAGACTGAGGCAGGAGGCTTGCAAGTTCAAGCCTATACTGGACAACTTAGCAAGACTCTGCCTTAACATAAAAGGGGCTGGGGATGCAACACTGGTAGAGCACCCCTGGGTTTAATCCCCAGTACTACCAAAAATAAAATTCTCTGTTTGGGTAGCCTGATATCTATTTTTAAATTCTTTTCCAAAGAGATGGTAGTGTGCTGGAATTCTGCTTTATAAGAAAAAAATCTGATTTTGCAAAAGAGAGAGGTTTGTTTTTATTCATATTTCCCTTTACAGTTCTGCAGTTCCATCACAGTATTATTTTAAATAACTCAGGTGTTATGCGAAGAGTTAGAAAGAAGATAACTTATGTGGACTGTAAATGTTTTATTTGTAAGATTCTATAAATAAAGCTATATTCTGTAATTATTGAGAATCCCCCTTGTGGTCTTTTTAGCAATAACATTATGGGTGTAATGATGCTTATGTTAACACAGGGTGGCGATGTTGTGATTTCTTTTACTAGGTCTAACTTAACAGTTTGCTATGGGATTTTAGAAGGAACTAGTATGTCCTAATACACTCACTGTAAAAGTGTCTGCGTTGGTCTAGAGTGTGGCTCAGTGGCAGAGCACTTGCCTTGGCTGTACGAGGTCCTGTCTTCGTCCTCAACACCGCAGCCCTGGTTTGTGTAAATTCACTGACTTTGGAAAGTCAGCTTAGTTCTTGTGAATCACATTTGTGTTATACAGGGAAGATGCTCTGATGTGAGCCTCAGAGTGCTAAATTGACTCTCATTCCAGCTTAGTAGAGTTAGAGGTCTGTTGTGTTTCTGATAGCGGTAATAAGCAGCCAGGTAAGGGAAACTTCTAGTCCACTTTCTTGACTTCATGTGCTGAGATTTCCAGATGCCTACGCCTATAATCCTACCCTTTTTAAAATTCTAAGTATGTGTTAAGTGGCCTCTTTCCCGCTTTGGTACAGGGGACTGACCCAGTCCTTTAATTTGCACTTATTCCCTCAGTGCTCTTGAGGTATTCAATGGTTACCCCATCCTTTGGCTTCCAAGCACCTTCTCTAGAAAATCTTTCCTTCCTGCTCTTTTCTGCTCTTACAGCTTGGGTTTGACTCCTTCATGTCCCTGTTGTGTCCCTGTAGGAGGACCTGGATAGGAATTGCTGTTTTTACCTTAAACTCCTCCTGGACTGGGACTTGATCTCTGTGATTGAAGTACCTGCTAAGCAAAAGAATGAATGAAAAGACCCAGTGACAGGCCTGCTTTCTGGGACTATCCTGCACAATGTTTTGCTTGTTTTTTCCACCTGGTCCACTTTTATTTAGAAACACAAATTTCAAAGTGAATTTGTGGCCTCATGGAACAGAAGTAAAAGGCCATTAGGAAGATGAGAAACAGCCAGGCATGGTGGCTCATGCTTGTAACCCCAGCACTCGGGAGGCTGAGGCAGGAGGATTGTTGCGAGTTCGAGACCAGCCTGGGCTACAAAGTGAGCTCAAGGCCAGCCTGAACTGCACAGAGAGACCCTGTCTCAAAAAAAAAAAAAAAATGAGAACCTTGACCTCAGCCTTGACTTTATAATACTTAATCAGCTGAGCCACTGGGGACATTTTTAGTGGGAGGTGAAACACTAAATTTGAAAGGTGTCCCAAAGCAGTTCTCCTGTGTCATTGTTTCTGTACATTGCCATTTGGTGACACTCAGGTCTGATTTGAGCAAAAGCCATTCCAAGATATGGCAGACTATATATAGACCTATGGCGAAACCACATGCCTATGTATTTAAAAGATTTTGTACTCCTCAGAATCAAATAGGAAATACCAGCATGCTGAAGAGTGAAAATTCAAAGCCTCATGGAAGTCTGTCCCTCCTCTCCTGGGATAAACAAGTATATTCTAGTCATGGTATATGGCTCTTTTAGGTGATATTTTTACAGGAAGGCAGGAGTAGGGAGTAGGGTAAGATCCAAAGGTTCTTATAAGCCTTCAGCTAAATAGGCTAAGAGCTTCTGGCCAAAGACATTTTTCTCTCCAACATCACAGCCTCTTCTTGCCAGATGTCTATGCAGGGTTGGTTAGTTGGTTTTACAATCAGGGTTTCATTATGCAATTTGGGCCAGCTTTAAATTTACTATGGAGCCCAGACTGGCCTCAAGCGCGTGGCAGTCCTGCAGACTTGCACCACCAGGTCTGGCTTATTTGGGATTTATTTTAAATAAAGTAAGGAAAGAAGTTAACAGATTGTCCTTTCTGTATGAAGCAATCTTTGACCTGGCAGCAGGTGGGATTCTGAACTGGTAGCAACAGTTATAGTTAAGGAGTAACCCAAAAGTGTTTGAACCCTGGCAATCATAAACCAAGATGCAAGGCTTGTTTCCATTAGGCTCTGGGTGTTTTGTTTTGTTTTGTTTTTCTGTGTCTGTGATTTGCTTATAGATTCTTTTCTCCCCAGTCCCTGCTTTTGTGTGTGTGTTTTTAAACTTTTGTTGGTACATTTCAGATACACACAATGATCACATTCATCATGGGGAATTTGGACCTGTACATGATATATCTTGATTCTTTTTCCCCTCTTCCTCTCCTTATTTACAAAGCCTTTGTTTCCATTTTTTCCCTTTTCTTTTTCTTTTGTCCCTACATTTTCCCCTCTGTCCTCTCCCCTGTCCCTTGTTCCCCTTCCCATTTGAACATTTTCTTTCCATTTCCCAATACCTGTTAAACATTTTGGTCCTTATTTACATGTTTGTTTTCTCATACCATAGAAGCAATGCAGTTGCTTATGATCTTTCAAGAAAAAGTTTCCAAGCATGGTGGTGCATGCCTGTAATCTCAGCCGGAAGGTCACAGGTTCAAGGCTAGCTAGGTCAACCTAGCAAGACCCCCAGCTCAAATAAAGTCTGCGAGGGGACTGGTGGCCTTGCTCAGGGTAGTTGCCTAGAGTGTCCAAGGCTATTGGGTTGATCCCAGTACCAAACAAAAGACAAGTTTCCACTTGATACAGGGGTGCACACTTGAATCCTACCATTGAGGCTGAGACAGGAGGATACTACAAGCTACATGGTTCAAGAGCAGCTTAAACTACATAATGACACCAAAAAAGTGAAGTTCTCACAGATAGAAAAGGTAACATGAGCTATCAGTGGGTTTCTCAGAGGAGACCCCTTTGATGAAGTAATTATGAGTGAAATCCTCTTTGGATCCCTGTCTTCCTGCACTGGGCTGACACTTTAAATACCTCCCCCTCTAAGGAGGACATGACACCAAACCAGTTCATTAGCGAATCGTGGGAGCAAGATGCCAAGCTTGTGGGTTTTAAGAAAAACAGTTCACTGAAGAAAGGGCGTGCTGGTTCTGCTAAAGTACAGACGTAGGTCTTTAATTAGAGATGCGAGGAAAGAGGGGAAGAAATCTGTTTGATCTTGAGGCTGTTCCCAGAGTGGGAGATTCTTTCAAGTGCGCTGTTGCCTGTAACTTCTTGAAGTTAACAAAACCCAAGCTTTTGAAGCTGTTTGCAGGTATCCCATGGACACAGCCCCGGGCAGAGATGCCCCATAACTTAGAGGATGTGACGCCATGCAGTGCAGGGCCTTTGTCCCTTTTCTTGAAAGTGAGTGAACAGGAGAGAATTGGAATTTAGATTTTTCTTTCCCAGAAAAGCTGATTTTCAGAAAAATGAATTTTTCCATACAGATGTTTCAATTATATATTCTACCTGGAAGGGCAAGTAAACTCTAAACGGATTCCCAGCATCTTCATTTGGCTTTTAAGTATATTCATTCCTATAAATTATTTTTGTAATTGCTCATATGCTTATCTCCAGGCTAACAAGTATGGATAAAGGTCTTGTCTAAGTATTTATTGAATTTATTTTACCTACTGAAAATTTTAATTTGGGGCTAGGTGTGTCACTTAGTAGTAGAGCACCTGCTAAAAACCACACACACACCCCAAGCCCCAAAATCTAGCATGTACCCGTAAACTACTTCAAATGAGAAAATCCTTGGAAAAGTGTTTAAATGTGTTGACCATTGAACAAATCAAGATACACAAAGACCAGTGCAAACTTTCCCCAGAGTTCTGGATCCTGCCATGTCTTCAGCAGAAAGAGCTCAGAATTTTGAGCTGAAAACAGTGGATCTGGGGATATAGCTCAGGAGTAGAGCATTTGACTGCAAAGCAGTGGACTTATGGTCAGGCACAGTGGTGCGCATCTGTAATCCAAGTACTTGGGAGGCTGAGGCAGGAGGATCACTATGGTTCAAGGCCAGCCTGAGCTAATTACATAGTGAGACCCTTACTTATTATCTGTGATTTCTAATATGTTTCACCTGTCTACACTGCCATATCTTTATAAAGATTTCTTTTTTTTTTTTTTTTGTCTTCTTCCTTTTTATCGGTAATGGGGATCGAACTCATGACTGCCTGCTTGCAAGGCAGGTGCTTATGCCGCTGAGCTAAATCCTCAGCCCCTTTTATAAAGATTTCTAAGTTCACACTATCTATCTCTAAGTGTACTAATAACCAAACATGTGAGGAAGTGCTTTTGCAATTAAAACTTTGTACTAGTAGTAATTAACATTTTGTTGCTGGGCATGGTGGCACACGCCTATAATCCCAGCACTCAGGAGCCTGAGACAGGAGAATCACTGAGAGTTTGAGGCCAGCCTGGATTACACAGAGAGCTCAAGGCCAGATATCACTATACAGTGAGATCTTGTCTCAAAAAACAAAACAAAACAAAACAAAAAAAACTGTTGTTTGGATTCCTTTGAGGATCTGAAAAAATATTTCCCCACACCCCTGTGCACATGAATGTATACTCAAAAACCTTCATTTCATTTACTGGTGGGAGCAGACTGGGGAGAGGAGGAGCAATTTCTTGAAAATGCTGTATCTCAAGTTAAAAATGCCCAATCCAGACAAGAAAAAGCCAATATTCATTCACCCAGCAAAATGATGAGTTCCTCTTTGGTGCCAGGCACAGTGTGTCATGGCGAGGGAAAAGAATGGGGGACAAAGGCCTCCTGTTTCAGAGCCCAGGCAAACAGAGACAAGTGTCCCAGGACAGTCCCCACAGAGCAAAGAGGAACTGGTGGACTGGTGGCCCTGAGCTGCAGGGATCAGAGAAGGGCCTGAGAGGACATCGTTGGAGTTGAGCCTCAGCTCTGCAAAGATCTAGAGGAATCATCAAGCTCAAGGACCAGCAGAGGCGAGAGCTCTGGGACAGATAGGAGCGCGGCGCGCTGAGGGCCGCGTGTGTGAGTCAGCTCAATGTGATAAACCGCACTGCTCCACGCGCGGGGGGGGGGGGGGGGAAGGGCTCGCAGCTCTCTGGAAAGGGGAGGCGTTTGACAGTTTTAAGCGAAGGGGACGACACGTCAGCTTTGTGCTTTAGAAAGACCTGCTATACCGAAAATGGAC